ATGAACAGAAATTAGAATCCCAGACTGCAGTCTCTTGATGTTGAATACAATTTTCGTTTTTTTTAAGTACATCAATAGAACAACCTTGTGGGTTATTTAGTTGGTCTAGAACAATAGGTTCATGTTTTACCCCCTTGTTGCTAAGTAGAAACCAAGGTGCCTCTATGATGCTAAAAGTTACGCAAAAGCATTTCTTATGGACGACTAACTAACCACCCAAAAACAGTTCCAAAACATGAAACCAAACTTGGAAGATTTAAAACAATCAAAAGCTAAAAAGAGGTAATTATAGTCTAGAAGAGAAAAAGAAGACGAAGAACTGTGGGAATTAAGAGTTCCAAAAGTCACTAAACAATACAATAAAAAGAAAAGAGATTTTATTAACATCAAATGAGAGGCTTCCCTTTGATCCTTACAAAGTAGATCTAACTTCTGATACTCAACTTGTAGGCACAATCCTTTTCTTTTCCTAGTAAACTGGCAATACGATAATTACCCTTCACAAAACCGGTTTCAGATTATCACAAAAACAAAAACCTCAAAATTAACATCAAAAGTTTTTCTTCCAAGCTTCATGAAACTCCAAAACACCATAAAAGTAAGAGCAAGCAGCACAATAATTAAAGAAAAAAGTGAAGAAGAAAAAAGCAACAGAAGAATGGGTTAAATGCATGGAGGAATTAGAAGAAAGTGCATATGCAAAAATAAATTACCAGCTTCTGAAGTTTTTGATGAACGTAGTTTTGAGGATCCGACAAGGCTTCTAATAGTGCATTCAAAGAATACAATGCGTTCAATTCTTCCAAAACAAACCCAGAAAAATAAAAGAAAAATTCATTAGAAGAGGGCTTGAATGCATTCACAAAGAAAATGGAATACCCTGTTTCATGTTGATTTTAGTGGGTCAGAACGACCCATTCTAGATTGGAAACAAGTCATTCCCAACTAGGGTTTTAGGCCATTTTAGGGGTTTAGAATGGCCTGTTCCAGTTTGGGAACGACCCATTCCACGCTTAAAACCCTACCTTCAAACTTTTAGGCCTTTTATTGTTGTTCTAGTCTGTTCTAGTGTTCTATTGGGCCTTCAAGGGCCACTCGTGTCGTTCTAACAGTCCTTTATCCTTAGTCTTGACAACATGGATGAAATCTGGTGTCTACAACAACTAATTTTTTATGTAGGCATACTTCCCTGTAACTCCAATGTTGTGGTCCACTAGTACAAGCAAATAAATTGACAAAATATGAAAATATACAAGAAAAAATCAAACAAATATCCATCGGCACCAGTATGCCTCCCTCCTTCACTAGTGTCGTCCTAGCCTCCGGCACTACGACCAATATCGATATGCCTTCCTCCTTACCAAGAAACATTTTGCGCTCTATGATGCTCACCAGTAGTGAAATCAAACTAAATCACTTGATCCTGTTCTCCACATACAACATTTGTATCATCATGATTCTCCTTTAATCACAAGAACAAAGCAAAGGAAAAGTTTCAACATAAAATGGGCATTCAATATCAAACCATAGAGAAAACCAAAATGAAACAAAGTTGCCTCGGAGTTGAGGTAGAGAACAATGTTGTGGAAGCAACAACAACGAAAAGCCTTGTCCTCTCTCTATATTTATTCAATTTAATAAGTCACACCTATAAAACTAGTTATTTCATACCCGATTTTATACGTATATACAAAATCGGTTACATGATAATTGATTTTAAATGAAGTGATTAAATTTAAAAATGTCATCGCATTGTCTATTAAATAGATTGTAAAACAACTTATTTAATAGCTTGACATTGTAGGCACTACTACAAAAACAATATTATACGTCGGGCTTTCTACATCGCTTATTGAACAACCGATGTAAAAAAAAGGACGGTGCCATTTTTGTAATTATTTAATCATTCTACATCGGTTAACTAAAGGACCGATGTAGTATTGCCAATTCAAATGACAGGGTCCCTCATTCTCCATGACATTGAGCAACAACCCAAGCCCTCGTCACGCGGCTTTCCAAATGGATGCATCCTCTGCCACCCTCACATCGGCGGCGCCGACCTAATCTTGGACCTCATGACGACGACAAAGTAGTCATGGCTGAGCGCGAGCAAGAGGCCGGCAACAGAGGCATGACCATTGACAGTGACGATGGTGGGCATGGGGGGAGATGAGGGCGGCGATGACAGGCTTGAAGGAGGCGACCATAGACTCTAGGCGATGGAGGGCGGCGGAGGGGGAGGTCGTGCATTGGGCCCAGGTGAGGTTGAAGCCGTTGGAGAAGAACTTGTCGTGGGCAGTGGTGAGGAGGACGAACCCAGGAGTGGCTTGGGTGATGAGGCGCGTTAGGGCTGAGAGGAGGGAATCGACTAGGGTTGGGCTCAGGTGATTTTGGCCGTTGACAGCGGCAATGGTGGGCATGGGGAAGGCGATGAGGGCGGCGATGACGGGCTTGAGGGAGGCGACCATGGACTCTAGGTGATTGAGGGCGGCGGAGGGGGAGGCAGCGGATTGGGGCCAGGCATGGTCGAAGCCGTTGGAGAAGAACTTGCCGTGGGCGGTGGTGAGGAGGACGGACCCGGGAATGGCTTGGGTGGTGAGGCGCGTTAGGGTTTTGGCTGTCGCCGACGAGGGGTTACTGGTTTTACATCAGTTATTGAACAACTGATGTAGAATGTCTGATACTTTCTACATCTCCTTAATCTACATCGGTTCCAAAATCGATGTAAAATGCCAAGAAAAACCGATGTAAAATATGGCTCTTGTAGTAGTGAGGCTATTTTTTTATTAGTGTAATTTCATTAAGTTTGATAGCTAATATTATATATATATATATATATGAGAATAATTCATTTACTTCATTCAATAATTCATGTTTTACAATAAATTTCAACAATTCAAGTGTCAACTTAAAAGTTCTTAGCGTGTAGACAACACAAATTTTAAAAAAAATGTATATCATGTGATACTTTATTATGTAAATCCAAATGAACGTATAAAATATTTTTATATTTATTCGTCAATTTGATTTAACGAAATATAATATTAAATAATTTTCAAATTTTTTAATAAATTTTTGAACTTTATCTATACGATAAAAACTTTGATCTAATAGTTGAATTGCTAAAATTTGATGTAGAATATGAATTACTGAATGAAATAAGTTTATTAAGACCTACTCTCAAAATAAGTGGATCCATTATCTCTTTATATATATATAGGGAGCATATCAAGTGAGAGAGAATTTATTATGAGAGATGAGGGTTAAAATATAACCCTTAAATTAATCAAGTGAGAGAAAATTTGGGGTTTAATCAAGTGAGAGGAAATTAATAAATGAGACACTTTTGCTTTAAATATATAATAAGAACAAATGATGTGTTAGAGATGAAAACAACATGTTGCTGCAAACCATGAATTTGTAAGAAGCATGCTAGTGACAACTAAATTAGACAAGTAAGCAGATGTCATCGCTCACTTCTAAAATAAAAATAAAGAAATTAAATATTGACAATAAAGCAGCAAGGACAAAAATTATCTGTTCAAAAATAATATTTTAGTATACTTTTAAAATAAGGTGATATAGACATAAATAATAATTTATTTCGTTTTACTCGTTACTCAAATAATGGAATAAATTTTTGGTGCTATTTCATTGTAACATATTTAAGTTATAGAATAGGAGTTTTTTTTTTCCATTATGTACTATTTAACTTTATTCTATTCCTTCTCATATTTTCCAACACTTTAAATATGATATATATATATATATATATATATATATATATATATA